CCACACTCTCACCCTGTCACCTATGGCATGGGGGCTGACATGAGAGCCTCCTGGCAGAGCAAAGACCATGCCTGGCACGGCTATGTGGGCACCAGGAGAAATACAAATCCAAGCAGCCTTCTCCTCTGTCCCCAGCACCTTTGGGTGCCCGTTAGACCTGAGCAGTTTGTCACCTGGAGCATTGCCAAGGGCTGTAAAATGGGAGGGAGTAGGGAATTGGGCCAAAATTGGGCTGCCGCTCCACCGAGGCCACAGCTCCCTCTGGTGAGGACGCAGCTGTAACAGGCACCAGCTGCTGGACACCACAACCATCACCAGTGTCTTTGGGCAAGGACTTGCAGGAGGTGAGCATGATATCTGGAGGCTGGGAGCAGTGCCAGGACATCAGGAGAGGTTTTTTTTTGGGGGGGTGGAGGCTCCCCGGCGCTGAGTGAACTGTACTGCTTTGGGATGGAGAAGATAATCAGAGCTACAAACCTGCTGGGTCTGTCACAAAGACATGCTGGGTGCTTGTGTTGTGCTCAGTCAAAAAAACACAGAGAGTAAAACATTGCTCACTAGAAAGGGCCCTGCACAGCAGCTAGAGGGATGCTGGCCCTGTCACCAGCTGTCCCACCACATCTGGGGCATGTGTGTGCTGTCCCCAGCACCGGGGGTGTGATGCCAGCGGGGAGAGGCAGCCCTGCCCGCCTGCTCTGCAGCCCTCCAGGCCTTGCAGAGGCACTCGGGTACCCCCCATACCGAGCCAACGCCATAGTCCCTGTGAGTAGTAGTAAGAGGGTTACCTGTCGCTCCCTGTCACCGGGTGCTTGCCGATAGATGGCGGTGGCGTATCTCGCTTGGGGACAGGCCCCAGCAGTGTCCCAGCTGGTGGCCCAGGGGACCTGGGGACCTACGCAGCACCCGCCGGCAGTCGGGGACCCCCCTGGCCCAGCAGCAGCCACCTGCAGCAGCCCGGGCATTAAAGGATCGTCCCTGGGATAGTGTCTGTGAATTTTATTGCTCAGGCAGGGGAAGGCATCAGGGCACAGCCAAGAAGGAACTCTGGCAAGGCTGAGGGCAGCTGCAGTCCCCTCCTCTGGAGGGGTCACCTGAATCCCTGGTAGCAGTCTCACCAGTACAGGGAGGAGCAAAGTAACAGCTGAAATATGCGAGTCCCCGAACCCTGCTTAGTCAGGTGTTGTCATCCTGTGATGCAC